CAGATAATCTCTCCTGTAGATCTAACCTCAAAAGATATTGACAGACGCATTGGAAATGCCTGGAAACAACTTTGGAAAAGTTAGAAAATTGCTAAAACTCCATGGAAAGGAGTATGATGGGGAAAAGACTATCCGACAAAATAAGAATCGAAACTCGAAAACCATAAAGAAACATAAGAAAACAAAAGATGTTATAACAACAAAAGGTTAAAGTGGAAATGGTCAGGCCATACAATTAGAGGAAAGGAGAAATGGTCGAAATCGATAATGAACTGGTACACTAGTCATAAGAAAAGAAACAAAGGCAGATCACTTAGAAGATGGGTGAATGCCATTAAAGCCGAAGCCAAGCACATGGACGAAAATCGCTAAAGATAGGGAGGAATGGAAAAGGTTGGAGGAGGCCTTTGCCAAAAAGTGGCACACAGACAGGGTTGACGATGCTTAATAGTCAAGCAAACCTTCTTTCTAAGGAGAGGCCTATGTCCAGCAGTGGACTATTTAAAGGCTGTTGATGATGAATAGTTTTAAAAAAAAAATTTTTTTTTTTTTAAATTTAAAAATTAATTTTTAAAAATCAATTTTCTGTTCTCTTTTGATAATATTTAAAAAATTTTTTTTAAATATTGAAAATAAATTATTTTTTTAAATAATAAATGTTATACAAAATTAATTTTTGTTTAAAATTATTAAATTTTTCTTTAAAATTAATTTTAACTTTATAAATTACTTTTTCCCAAATTTTCCTTTGTTAGGGTTTTTAAATATTTTTATTTCGTTAATACCAATTTTTAATTAATTAACTTTTTTTTTTTACATTTTATTTTTTATTTGTTAACTTTAATTTTTGTAAAATCTTAGTGGTTTTTAATTAAATTTTTTTTAAATTTTATTCTAAATTTTTTATAAGCATCATTTAATTTTAACTTTTTTATTTTTTAATTATTTTTTATTTTTATAAAAAATTATTTATTATTAATTTTTTTATATTGATTTATTTTTTATAAAAATTTTTTTTTTTATTATTTTAATTTTTTAAAACCTAATTTTTTTTTTTTTTTTTTTAGTTTTATTATAATTTTTTTTAAAAAATTTTTTTATTCCACTTTAATAAACCAACACTTTTTTTTGGGGATTTAATTTTAATAATAATTATTTAATAAAATTTAAATTTTTTTATTATTTATTAAATTTTAAATTTTTTTTTTTAAAGTTTAGATTTATTCTTTTTTTTGAGATAAAATTTTTTTTTTTTGAAAAATTTTTTATTTTTTTTTTTAAAAATTTTTTTTAAATTAATTTTATTTATGTTTAATTTTTATTTTTTTTTTTTTTATTTAAAATTAATTTTTTTTAAATTTTTTTAAATTCTTATTTTTTTATTTTTTATTTTTCTTCTTCTTGTTTTTAAATTTCCCCATAAAAATATAAAAAGTAGATTATTTCCTTTTCTTTTCCCCATCATTATTTTACTGTTCCCCAAAATTGGGGAAAGTTTTAGGATTTTTAAATAAATAATAACGGGCGGTTAAGCCAAGGCCCCGATTTCGCTTCGAGTATAGACGAAGTTGCGGGTTGCAGAGATCATTTCCTACCTCTGTTGCATGCTGGCTTGTTAAGCCTGCTGTATCGGTTAGTTAACCGTCGCCTGAGACTCGACGTTGACCTTTTACAGTTGGTTTGGTCTTTCCTCAACCAACCCTCCTCCTTTTTAATACCGGGTTTGAGACTTGGAAATATGATGTTCAAAAGTTTTCTTTTGTAGTGTAACTTTTATACGATTTACGTACGATTAATTACGTATAAATCTCTTTGACTCCTTTCCAGAGGAAAGCATCTAATTGATGTCCTGATATGCTTACCTGAAATGTTCTTTGACGATAAGCTCTTATGACTTCGCAACGTTCAGACTTCTTTGTTGTCAGTATCACAGGCAGCGGTTTTCTCCAATGGTCTTTAACTCTAAAAATAAAATAAGTTAGCACAACATAAGATGTACGAAATACCTTTTTCTATTATATTTTTATATCAGTAGTGTATTTAAATGAAAAAGAGGTGGTTAAGACATATAACAATACGCACTATTTACACCACATAGTGTCTCGGACCAGGGCCGGGAATTTATACGTCTCCTAAAACATATACCTGCCTAAATTCATGTACACTCACCTACAAATGTATAACACATATTATGAATAGAGGTGGTGACACTCCGTATTCCTATTCCGTCACTACACGGATCGTATTAAATGTATAATAAACCACTAGTACAAACAGACGAATCATTTGTTGCTGTACGACGAATGATGGCGACATTTTAAAGTACGATTTTTGCACTAGTAGTTACTAATAATTGCAATCGATTTATAAATTAGCTATAATTTTAAACAAATAAGTAAACTATGTTCTGAGATAATGATTTTAATGAAACTTAAATTCAATTTAAATATTGGAAATATATGAAAAGTTACGAGTGTTAAAAGTTTAGATACTTAAGTACTTATTCATTATAATATTCTTAAAAATAAGGAAAACCAACTTTAAAAAGATATTCTATATTAGATTACCAAAAAATGTATAAATATAAAATAATATAAATATTGTATAAAACTTACCGTTTTAAAAATCAAGACATTTTCGTTGCATATCACACAGTTTCAACTTCGCGGCAAAAGCGTTATAAACTCACGTTAACTTTAACATTTTATTCATTTTTGAAGGTAAAATAGAGAAGTCATTGGTGTGATTTGATGACAACCAATAAAATATTGTGCATTAATTTTCAGCAGTTAAATACGTGATGTATAATGAAATTCTACTAGAACATGTAAAAAAACAAATGACAGTTTCGCAGTCCATTTTCGAATACTGTAAATGCTTTTTTTATTGTAAGTGATGGTACCAAAACTTTATGTGTGAAACGTATTAAAAAGGTTTTTGTGTGCATTTAGTTTTTATTTCTGCTTTAAAAACAAGATTAACCCTTTCTGACTGCAAATGTTCACTTTTACTAATGTTTGCAAAGAAGTTGTGAAATCGACCGTTAATTGCATAAATTAATAATAAAGCTATTACCAATGGCAAGGAAGAACCTATTCTGATCAATAAAAAAAGCCGTGTGGTGTCGTGGGACACCCGATAGGAACGAAGTTGTTTAAAGTTAAAACTGATTTGACACGATATTAATTACAACGCCATCTATGAAAGCGGCTATTACCTACATGTTAAAAACAATTAAAACAATTTATACATTGGTAAAATCTCCTTGCGAAATGATTTCCTATCTATTCGATAGATGGCGCTGAATGTCTGACAAGATGACACGAAAAAATATTATTACTAATCATAGTTCATACTTTCATCAAATTCATGGCTTACGTTGTATGTTATAATAAGATTTACTTTAATTTAAAAAAAAACTTTGACTGAAATCTGGGTAATAGTGTACATAGCATCAACTTCTTTTGATCATTAAAGTGTTTTGAAATATATTTACTTAGTTTTATTTCCTAAATTCAAAATTTCAAAAAAAAAATATAATGTTGACATTTGGGTAGGCCGTGGAAACACTCAAAACCACCAGAAAGATAATAAAATATGAATTAACATTACAAGCCCACACTATACTCACATTTACATACTTACACAAAAAAAAACTATACAATTCAAATTCAAAGAAAAATAAAATACGAAAACAAAATACGAAATACACCAAAAAAAAAAACCTGCGGTAAAAAATTAAATAAAGAGCAAGCCAACATCACGTGGTATTCCCAGGCGGTCACCCATCCAAGTACTAACCACGCCCGATGTTGCTTAACTTCGGTGATCGGACGAGAACCGGTGTATTCAACATGGTATGGACGTTGGCGAACGTTAAAGCAAATTTAATGTATGGTATCCACAGTTAGACGTCAATTTATATTAATAAAAAAGTGTCGCGTCCCAAATTTTTGTATGAATTTTTTCCGTCTAGCCCCCTTTCACAACGCGCGATAAGGAACTTCGTTCTAATAACTCCATTGAATATATCAAGGAATACATCTATTTGGGACAGATAATCTCTCCTGTAGATCTAACCTCAAAAGATATTGACAGACGCATTGGAAATGCCTGGAAACAACTTTGGAAAAGTTAGAAAATTGCTAAAACTCCATGGAAAGGAGTATGATGGGGAAAAGACTATCCGACAAAATAAGAATCGAAACTCGAAAACCATAAAGAAACATAAGAAAACAAAAGATGTTATAACAACAAAAGGTTAAAGTGGAAATGGTCAGGCCATACAATTAGAGGAAAGGAGAAATGGTCGAAATCGATAATGAACTGGTACACTAGTCATAAGAAAAGAAACAAAGGCAGATCACTTAGAAGATGGGTGAATGCCATTAAAGCCGAAGCCAAGCACATGGACGAAAATCGCTAAAGATAGGGAGGAATGGAAAAGGTTGGAGGAGGCCTTTGCCAAAAAGTGGCACACAGACAGGGTTGACGATGCTTAATAGTCAAGCAAACCTTCTTTCTAAGGAGAGGCCTATGTCCAGCAGTGGACTATTTAAAGGCTGTTGATGATGAATAGTCAAGCGTAGAGTGTAAGATATATAATATATAACTAAATGTTAGACTTAGAATAATTAAGATAGATACTGTAAATGGAATACTGTCTGAAATAAAGGCTATTTTTACCATGTACTACTTTGTACGTTGGGCTACTATAACATTCCTAAATAAATAAATAATTTGAAGATAAGATTTCTGCAATCTCTTGTAAGCAGGAACGAGTTATTTTAAATAGTTGGGATAAGGCTTCTGTGCATTGTTAATGTTAAGTTCCTTTTGAATAGAACGAAAAAGACACCACTATGCTATAACTTGACTTGATTTGACATATATGTACGTTTATTTTACTAGAGACTCCGCTTATGTCATGGTTACCTCTCTCGAGATTTATAATAAGATTTAATAATATCTGTATTTCTATCTATATTTGTTTTTTTCAGACGTCTAGCCAAATCAAACGGTGCAGGCGCTACGAGAATGGACACCACATCAGCATTTTCTGTTGCGGTGGCCGAACGGCTAAATTACAAGAAGATCTTCTCAGTGAGGTACTCCGACTTGGACTTCGCACCACAGCCTGAAGAGCCACACGTTGAGGCTAGGGTCTATATCAAAGAACTTTAAGGTATTTTTTTTTGCCAAACCCTCGTTTCTGGAGAGGCCCATGTCCTGCAGCTAACTGTTAAAGGCTGTTGATGTGTGTTCTCGCGGATTGTCTATTACTGGTATAAAATATAGCCCCTGTTACTTGTGGATATAGTAATTTCCAATCTCTAATGGTGATAAAACTAATCAACTTGGTTCAGCCATTTTAAAGTTTATAATTAAAAAAGAAAACAGTAACATAACATTGCAAAAGTAAAGACATAAGATTTTTCACTCATTGTCAACCCTAGATCGAAAGTTTTTCGTACGGTACAAGTTATTTAAATCGCCTCATATTTATTAGCTTTATTAATTATAGTACTCTATAATACAAACAATATTATACTTACAAGAACTTTTAGTTGTTATTTCACCCCAAATTAACACAGGATACAACAAATGATCTCGAACAAAATATATGATTCTCAACATGTATTTAAACATTAATTATTTTTTCAGAATGCAAAGCTGAAGCGGCAGTTAATCTACGAAAATGTTATAGTTAGAATATGCTACTCACTACAGTAGTGCTGATTAATCAGTGTCTTGTAGGGTGGTAGTGGTCTCTAGACGGGCGATACCAATGCTATCAGGAATAAGCAGGATTTTTCTCATACATTGTTGAACATCACGCATTGTCACAAGCGAACTTAGTATGGTGATTCACGACACGACTTCGCAACAGATAATAAAAAAAGGATGTAGTACCTACTTGTGTACTTGTGTCTGCAATACCTGTACTTACTGTATATACTCGTATAAGACTTCAGTGGTCGAAAATGTCATGCAAAGCGCCTGAAATAATACCTATGGCAACATTTATTTGCTAACTGTAATCAATTTAAGTAATCACAGTTAGCGTAGGCGTTCGTTGTATAAAATTGTACTGTAATAATTTTATCAGGCTCACATAATAGTTAGTTTCATATTTTATTGAATAAATTAACACTATGAATGTTTCTACTCCTATTTATTGTATTACTGATATTTATTAATATTTAAGTAAAAGTAAAGTACAGGAAGGTGATTCAATTTCGTACAATACAGATTATAAGTTTATTTAGTTTTAATCTTTGTTTACCACCATTATAACCAGCCACAACATTAAAATGTATCACACACGTACCTAAACTGTAAATGGTCTCAGACCAGTCACTAAATTAACTAAACTCCATAGATTAAAAAATAAATTAGCTCTTTTTCAGTTTCTATCGTTCTTCGATTTAAATTCAGACTTGACAATTTTAAATGTTAGTTGGATTAGATAGTATTGCCATATCAATAAATTGTGAAGTATATAATACCTAAGCAATAATATATCATGTACATAATGTTATATAGAAATAAACCTAGAAAAAATATGCTTTGTTTTTTTTTCATACAGCAGAAATAATTAGTAAAAACGAATAAACCGCAAAAACTCATCGCTTTATTACATTAATACACAATAGTATGCAAGGTTATGGTTATAAGAGTTAATAAGCCAAAATAATGTCATTCTGAATCATCCTGAAGTAGTAGGTAGGTAGTACTAGGTTTTTGAAAGTATATTGTTAGCAGGCTATTGATTATGTCATATAGAAAGGAAGTAAGACGTGCACGGGTTTTTACTTCCTTCGAATTCGCAGGAACCGATTAATGGGTTATAAATGAAGAAAAATCAGCGGAGTGCTATTAAATTAGAGGGTGGAAATTGAAGAAAGGGGTGAAAAAACAAAGCAGAATTTCGATATATCTCATTTGAAACTTTTTGTAGAAAATCAAATTTCCAATCGGAATAGCATTTACTAAATATTTAAAAAAAACATGCCGAATCAGTTGAAAGAAACTTGAAGTAAAAGCGAAAATTTCGATATTTTTTTGTTTTTTTTTGTTTTTACCTGTATCTTTTTTTTTGGGCCAAGATAGGTATGGGCATTGCTTCAGGCATAAAATGTAGATTAAATTTCCCTTTAAAATGGTGGGTGGAAGAATTTTTTTGAATGAAATTTGACCTAGATATGGCCATTTGAACATGTTTTTTTTTGCATTTCATCCTTCGTGTACGAATTGTTTTCGTTCTCATTTTATTAAAAAAAAATTGATTAACTCAATTAAAAAAATCTTTTTTTTACGATTATAATTTAGAAATAAATGACAATTACAACAAATTAATGTTTGGAACAGTGGTGCTACCACATTTCAACAATAATATTGTCAAACTGCATATCGATATCATCATCTATATCTTTAGTAATGTCGTCTTCTGCAATATCAGCTTCTTGTATTTGTCACAATTAATTCCCATAAATTCTCTACAAAAAATTGAACAAGTAATATATATTTTTCTGCAACCACAATTACCTGTAGTGCAACCACAAGCGATTTTTTTTTAAGCTAAATTGCTGGTGCTGGAGGTGACGTTGTGCAAATCGCAATTAACCCGTACTTAGAGCTTTTCCAACCCCAACTATAAGTCCTCATGCTGTTTGATGGCATCACGTGTTGGTGTTAATTGCGTCAGAGAAACGTGACACATTTAGACAGCTTATAAAACTTTAGAAATCGGCAGTTGCTCAGACTCAAGTTCGTCTTTGCCCCATACAAACAAGCTGCAATGTATTCCGACACAGAGATAATATCTTGTTCAGTTGCATTGTCACGTAAGAATATTTCCATGTGTTGTTGAAACACGGCTTCAGTGTTTTGAAAAGCTGAAGCCCCATGCTGCGGACTGTCGAAAGCTGGTATTTAGAATTCCAGCGTGGACATACAGACAGCGTAGTGTTAGTGATAAATCTCGCGAAGGACGCCCAAAATCCGCCTTCACTGGAGATTGATGAATATCTAGATCTGTCTCGTAGATCGTCATGTGACGTATCGGGAGATAGAGGCTCTATTCGGCATCGCAGGGACAACCATTCAGAAGATCTTGCATGAAGCGCTTGGTGTGAGAAAGCTAGTTTGCCGTTGGATACCGCATCTGCTTTCCGACGATCACCGACGGTCAGATGGAGCAAGAAAACTCTGCAAAGGTTCAACCGAGGAGAGTCAAATCACGTCTACGACATCAACAGTGGTGACGAATCTTTGATCTATGCCTACGATCCTGATTTCAAAAAACAATCTACAATCTGGGTCTTTCAAGACGAGCCAAAGTTGACTAAAGTTGTTCGTTCTCGAAGCAATTCAAACAAGATGGTGGCCACGTTCGTTGGAAAAACCGGCCATGTTGCGACTATTGCACCTAAAGATCGTAGAATGGTTAACTCAGAGTGGTATACCACAGTTTGTTTACCACAAGTAATCGCCGAACTTCGAAAATCTAACTCAAAGCGACGCATCATCCTGCACCCGACACACGACAACGCAAGCTCAAACGATTGAGTATTTGAAGCAGGAAAAAGTAGAAATTCTTGACCATCCTCCATACAGTCCTTTTTTTTTTTTTTTTTAACGTGTGGAAATCCCCTCGGACCGTCACCCCACCGGGGTTTGCGGCGGGGTGGTGTGTCGGACTCGAACCAACTAAAACCACACGGTGTGACATCTTTGCGCTTCCAGTTTAGCCCTCCTAAACTCCAGGTAGTTATCGCCTTCTGGACCCCTCCTAGCGCCGGCCCACTCCTATTGCGGGCCCTGTCTCAAAATTTTCCTCTCTTTAGGCGACGTCCTCCATACAGTCCTGACCTAAGCCCTAACGATTTTTTTACATTTTCGCTTTCAAGTCAGCCATTTTGAACACCCCCACTTTAAAGTGGAATAAATGTTATAATAACTAGTATGAGCGAATGAAAAAGTGTATTAAGCTACGTGGTGAATACTTTGAAAAACAATAAAAAGTACTATAAACTTCTAGTCAAAACTTTAAAGGCATGGCAAGGCTCGTAACAGCATTTTTTAACATTGATGCTTTCTCTTTTGCGTAGTCAGCAATAAGAAAATCTGCGTCCCAATCTGCTTGCTTATTTTGGAGTAGATGTTTTGAAAGGATCACAATACAGGTATACGGGTAGACAATATTGGTTTGTAGTAAAGTAACGGTTCTGTACTGTAATGGACGATTTCACTGATCTACGAGTATGACAGAAATGAAATATATTTTAAATGAGAGTTTCTGCAGATGTGTTACAATCATTTTAAAGGGTCGTTTGAATATTGATATAATTAAACCAAATATTTGTTGTAATTGTCATATGTTACTAAATAATAAACGTTAAAAAACTTTTTTAATTGAGTAAAACAATAATATTTGCCATAAAATTCGAACGAAAACAATATTCCTACACGGGGGATGAAAAGCCAGGTTCAAACGCCCATATCTCGGTTAATTTTCATTAAAAAAAATTGTTCCGTCCACTATTTTAAAGATAATTTAATCTAATTTTTTTATTTGAAGCAATGCATCAAAATGTTTTTAAAACATTATCAATAGCCTTTAGAACCTGTCTCCAGAGCAGTCAGTCAGTAATCAGTCATCAGTGATAGCAGACGGTTCATTAGCAATTTAGCAATAGAAGTTGTATTAATATTTTAGCACGACGATTTATTAAATTAATTTTAGTCTTCGCCCTCTTCGCGTTGGTGCGAATGAGAAAGCACGCGCTGTGTGTATGTGAAGTGTTAACGAATTAAGCGACGAAATTTCGTGTACGTATTAATTCATACGTTCACGAAATTTCACAATTACAATTAATTTGCTAACTGCTAATTAAGAATTCACAATTAATTATGAGCGTGAAGACTAATTATTCCATCACTAATACCTACTGTAGCTAAATATGTTGAGAAGATCATTTTTAAATCGTTTTGAAAACGATCGTTTTTAAATTGTGAAAATGAAAGCGTTGTAAGATCGTGAAATGCTTTTTTAGATAAATAGAGATGTGACCTAAGATAAATATCACATACAATATCACAATTGCCTCAGGCACCTTTTGCATAATATTAATAAAACACTCGATTATGCTAGCGACAATAGGATTTTAATTAAACAATGATTAAAATTAATTTAATAACTCTAATACTTCCATTATGTTTACAAAAAATAGACAGAATCAATTTCATGGGACAGAACAAAATCTTAAAATTTGATTTTAATTGCAAAAGTTCATTTTTTTTCACAATCACAGATATATGAACTACATCAACTAGATACTAATATATAATATGCTATACAAAAATCGATTCCCATTATGACAATATTGATTTTTTTTAAATATTTTGTGCTAGTATTATACCAATACACAACTAAAAAAAATCGATCGAAGTGGAGTGCAATGGTAAAGGTCTATGTCCAGCAGTGGACTGCGATAGGCTGATGATGATACAACGTAAACATTTTTCTCGTAACACCAAACCAGAACAGTAACATTGACTTCCAAAATCTAATTCTAATGTCAGTCATTAGAATCTGTTGATTTCTAATAATTCTTCTTGTTTGATTATATATTTGAGGTTTCAGATGTATATTGTTTCACGTTCCTTAAATATCAAAAAGAGGGAACGTCCTCAAATTATGTGATTCGCTAGTAGGTTATATACTACCTACTAGCGAATCAAATAATTCAATAATGTTTCTTATTTATTAATAAGGGACATTTTTTCACTGTGTTTTAATTTAACAGTAAAAATGTAATTCTTAAATTCTCTTTTTGTCAAAGTCCAAACTTTTTTTTTTATGGTAGAGGGGGCAGACGAACAGACGGGTCGCCTGATGGAAAGTGACCATCGCCGCTCATTTACGTCTGCAGCTCAGAGGTCACAAACGTTGCAGGCCTTTTAGGAAGGAGTACGCTCTTTTCTTGAAGGTTTGAAGGTCGTATCCGTCCGGAAATATCTCAGACGGTAACCCGTTCCACAGATTGGCTGTGATTGTAATTACATCCATTTGAAATATAGCTCTCGAAAAAAATGCTTCCATCCAACTAATCCCGAATCAATCGAATCTTCATCTGGTAGCCACTTGTTCCAAAGAAGAACGAAGATGTATTTTCGTGAACAGGTGAACTTGAAACTTGAATGCAGCTTATTTGATTTTCTACCTGGATCTTGGCAAAAATTAATTTTATCAAGATTCCGTATCTGGTCGCCTTCTAATTTTTGCTTATTTGCTTGCAATATTTCTTCTACTAAATCATAAAACTCGTTAACGAGAAATGTTCCGTCTGCTTTCTTTCTCGCTATTTTCGATTGCGGTTTATTGTATTCAATTTTTAAGCCTCGAATTCATTCTACCTCAGGCATTTCGTTTGTGAGGGAGTGTCAATTTTATTTCTAAAAACATTTGTTTTACAAGGAGCTCTGACTTTTCGCTGAGTAAAACCGAAGCCCGGTAGTTTCATACTGTGTAACATTGATATTGTGTTGTAGTTTCATGCTGTCTAACTGTGTATAGATATTATTAGTCGATTTAAATAAACAAATAGAATGATCTAAAATGATAAGATTCAAATAGTTAAAACATATTACCTATTGCAAAATCATATTTTCCCATCCCGTCAACCATCGAGTACAAAGCTGCGAAGAAAACCACGACGAAGCTGTTATGTCGGAGTGGAGCCGATGTAAATTACATACGAGTATTGGTGTCTTTTGGTCTTTATTTCTAGCTAATCCTTGACGTTGAAAAAAGCAAAACCTTTTGCATAGTCTTACAGTGATTTTTAAACAGTTTTGCATCATTACTCGGATAAGTTTCGCAGAATAGCACGCACTTTCGTTTTCTTGCCAAGAACCGAATTTATCTTTTATTTACCTACCTGCCAGCCTGTAAATTTTAATGAAGTACAAAATATAGTCGAGTAATTTCAGGTTAGGTAAATTGATTTAATAAATATTAGCAAGTTTATGTCTTCCCCAAACAAAATTCTAATGTAATGGTAATTACGGCAAATATGTGGATTATTTTAGTTATAGGTGCCTGATTAAACACTTCACAATCACAAGTGGCTTGGCAAACACTTTGACGATAATAATATGTGTGCCAAACTGCCAACGACCAAAGCGTCTCCCCCCGCCCCACACCCACCACGCCGAGAGAATTTAAGGCTCTTTATTTATATCCATACTAATATTATAAATGCGTAAGTGTGTCTGTCTGTCTATCTGTCTGCCTGTCTATTCCTCTTTACGCTTAACCGCTAAATCGAGGTACAGAGATCGTTCGAGTCCCGAGGATAGTTTTTTATCCCAGAAAACATCCTTTAAGGGGTGAAGGTCCATCCTTTAAGTTGGAAGTTTGTATGGGGAATCAATAACCGCTGAACCGATTAAGTTAAAATTTTATATGAAGATTCTTTGATTCTTGAAGCAAGACATAGGATACTTATTACCGATAACCGACACTTACGCGGGCGGCACCGCGGGCAAAAGCTGGTAATTATATACATATAATACATCATATAGTGAAAATATCTTAAATAAAAAGTCAAAACGATTCTTTCTTTAAAAACGATTGTAAAAAAACAATTATTAGATATACTTAATTATCTTACCGATTTTTTTTTAATTACTATTAGATTGATAACTTATAATCGCAAAACAATACCAATCATTTTTTTATATTAACAGTATTGAAAAAAATGCTTCCATCCAACTAATCCCGAATCAATCGAATCTTCATCTGGTAGCCACTTAACCCAACTCTATTTTTACTGTTTTATTTAACAAAATGACTCAACCATCTTACCCTTTTGCCAAATTTATTTGAAATCGGGGCAACGAGTCTTCTTAAATTCTCCTCTGTCACTCGACAGATCACAGATTACTGCTTGCTTCCTTCCCAGCCATATCCTCTTTCACGAAGTCCTTCATTTATAAATTACACAATTACTGTGACACAATAATTTAATTTCACATAAATTACACGAACAGTGGGTCACTAAATAGGTTAAATTAGTTGTATTTATCATTTATACACGTCATCCTTTATCATATCTACACGTATACCACACACCACATACTTCCACATCTGGAAGGTAAGCGTATTATTTATTATAAAAATAATGTCGTGCCCGTATTCGCCTTAAACGTTTTATTTGTTTCTTTCATATTATGTCATGCGTAGGAGCGAGAGCGAGTTCAAAACATTATCTAGAGGCGCTTGCGCACGTCGACCGAAGCATTGATATTTATTTGATTACAATACTTATTTAAATTTACGAAAATGTGCGAAGTGTAAAAGAATTCAATCATTTTTTAGACTTCAAAGTAACGAGAACATATTAGACGTTGTTTGCGAGTGTTTCGTTTTTGGTCCCTTCTTACTTAGCGATTGTTATTTGTGTGTTTAAGTGTTTTTATTTACATTATTCTGGTAAGTAACTATCTTATCCCTACTTGTAAGGCATGTAAATCCTAGCATATTACGCAATTTATAGCTTGATTTATTATTCTTGATTATCAAACAAGATTTTGTCAGTACTTACCTACATACATCTACATGTCATTTTTTTTTAATAGAATGTTTACACTTTTCTACATACGATGTGAAATGGCATTTATGTGCACAACACATTTTTACATGTGTAAAGCCTGTCTGTCAATGCGTTTCGTTATATTTCAAACCAGTAGGTATACTCCAGGACGGCCAGTATTTTAGTCAAATTTTAAGTAACTGTACCTAGAACTCAGAAAACGTTTATTAAAATACACCACAAGTTTATTGTAACTCCGGACTCGGAACCGGTTGATTTAAAACCATTGACACTTAAAGTATGTAGAAAATGTCGAGTATCGTAACAGATATCTAATAAATGAATAAGATGTGATATAAATTTCTGTTAACATAATACATAGATTTTTTTAAATCTTTTTTCTTTTGCAAACTTGATTTTCTTGATTCTTGATACCTTCGTACTTATTATAAACTATGTAATAGTATTCTAGTGTTTCTCTACTAATTGAAAACTGGACATACGGCACTGTCCATAAAATATTTTTGTTAAATACTAACTAAACTAGATGACTCAAAAGCAGTGTTATTTTTAATAGGTCCCTATTAATAGGTCCCTATAAATACATAGGATGCCCATATTTCGAAATGACACGATTTCAAGAAGAAATTGGGTCGTATTTCAATACATTTTCGTTGAGTTCTGATATATGGTCAGCGTTAAACTTCTAAATTCTATCTAGTATAAAGATTAATAAATCTCTATTTTAAAATTGTTTGCTAATAAGTTTTCTTTTTAAATTAACTAAGGGGCCCCTGAGTTGTCATTCACAAACTTTATAAATACTATAAATATTGCCAAATGTTGTCTATTACCTTCTTCCTTTGCTTTAAAATAATAAATAACGATTTGTTTCTTGTCCAACACTTCTCTATCTTTCTAGTACGCCCCATTAATCTAAAACAAGGCGGCGGTAAAACCAGCGTGCAGTTGCAGCGTTTAAGAGTTATCATAAATTTTCTTGACGTGCTGGTGCCCAATTGTCCAAGTGCAAAGTTTTTTCACCCACATTCCGAATTTTTTTTCCTGGTCACATTCACACTCTTCACTTAATCGCGAAAATTTGTAATTGCGCACTTTTGTACCCCTTAACCCTAAAACGGTTAAGGAATTGGGATGGACTTTGGCGCTTATGAAGGCTAGTTTGAATAAAAAAATCACATAGTTTTAAAAAACAACTCTAGTTGGCTTGTGCTTAGAAAATCAATTTAAATGGTCTACGGTTGTCACAGTGCAAACCAAGAGTGGAATACAAAGTATCTGTGTATTGTTCAAATTGTTGTCAGGTCGTAAGTAGAAGGATGTCGCGAGAACGAATTGAAATAAAACCGGTGAGGACAGAAGACGAGAATGACGTCATGGACCTTATCAGGCGGTAGGTATCGGTAATGATAAACTTATTTTTTTGAAATTTAGTTTATAAGTCTTCCCTTAAATAGTACACAACAGTTTCGTAGATGTTTGGCCTATCAGCTTTTAATTTGAGAATACTTGTTAAAAGATAGCTGTGTGTTTTTGCCTTATGGACTGTGAAATTCGAACAGTATCTAGTATGTCAAAAAGCTGGAATAACATTTTTGTATTAGTTCTTCATATGAAGAAAGAGTTAATTTTTGTAACGTTTAAACAAAACATGTTGAGTTATTTCTACGGTCTCAGCTAAAAATGAAAATAAATCTTGGAATATTTGGCAGGTTACGAATCCATAAGAAAGGAAATCCATAAGGAATTGAGTGACTTACTTCTTGACCATGTAGGTTTACTTACGCAGTGACAGCTTTTTAGAAAAATGCAGGGCTATTGGTAAGCTATCTCATTTCTGCGTGGCCTTTGTTCCTCGAATGCTATCAAAATGTTAGAACCGGCAAAAATTACACACTGTTAAAACTACACACAGTGACTATTTTTTATCATTTCAATTTCCAGGACATTTTACATCGATGAACCGATGAACCAAGCTGTCGCACTATGTGTCGACGGCACGTGTAAGGAGCTCGATGAATACTGCGCTAAAGCTCTACGTGCAGGATTGTCTTTTAAGGCTGTTGACGGTGACGGAAATGTAGTCGGTACTATCGTCAACGAAATATGTTCACTAAAAGAGGTAACTTAAAAAAAAGTTATAACTTAAACTAATCTAAGTTGAGCTATTTAATATTTAAATTGTTTAACTTGAGAAAAGCTTAGGTTATTACTTAAATTTTATGTAAAGCGTCTGTCCGAAATACGGCTAGAGATGTGTCAGAGAGAGGAGGAGCCTGCCTAACGCTGCCGTATGCGTGAGAGAAAGGGAAGCCAGACAGACTGGCGCCGTAACGCGTTCTGTAACGAAGCGGTTTACCCTACCATAAGAAGTTATCACTTCAAAAATCTAGTAATAGTAGTAGTAAGTAATAGTACCTAAGTTAATTCTTAGTAGTATTGTCCATTAATACCCCTACATGCTCATAGCTTTATACGTTATCCTGATCAGATTCTTATATGTCACAAATAAATAGACTGTAAATTTTCTTTTCAGGATACTGGAAGTGACAATCCCTACTTAAAGATGGCTCAAGAATGTCAAAACCCTAAGTTCCAGAAGATTCTTTACGTATTGGCGAAAAGAGAAGACGGAGCTAGGTTTCAGGATAAGTTCCCTAATGACCAACAGTATATGGACGTGAAAATAGCTGCTACAGATCCCAATTTTAGAAATCGAGGCATCATGAAAGACTTATTGAAAGCGACAGAGTTAGTAAATCTCTATACTAACGGACTAATCTGAATTGTTTTTTTTAAATTTTGTATGCTCTAGTCTCCACTTCTTCTCTAGTTCAATTTGAAAAAGCTTTTTGCATTAGATAGCCCTCATTTTTAAGGGTTATAAGTTATTTACCATCACGCTATCACCCTTAGTACCTAACCGCGGGGAACAGTTATACGAGTATGCATATAATTCTGCCAACAGGGCTGGATTAGAAAGTAGAACACAATATTTTTTAACAGGTAAATTATTATTGTAATACGCTAGGTGCCATAACTCTTTCAAAACACCAGGTGTCGTCCTTTTCTTTCATGGTGTACGTATCCAACTAATTGGAAAACCTTTAAAGACGTGGTCACTCCCAACTTTAGTTCAAATCACGAAGCATGGCGGGACTGCGAAATTGGTTCTCGTAATATTTACAGCAATGCTCACTCACGTGTTACAATTCCAGAAATTTGGCAACACAACGAGGAATCAGAGTGCTCCGTATGGATACGTCTAGTGCCTACTCAGCGATGAGCGCAAAGAGGCTGGGTTTCACATGTGTACACTCCGCCCCGTACACAGACCTCAAAATGGATGGACAACCTATTCTGGTGCCAGAAGCACCGCACGTAGATGACAGTGTTTATGTTAAACTTATGAATGTGTAGACTGTAGGAATTCCCTTTTACCAGACGAACTAAAAATTCTTGGCAACTATCTGCCTGTAACTATAACTTTTCTTTATTGTCGCAACATAAAGGTTCTTATGTTGGAGGCGTAGTACCCAAAACAACATTTAGTTTATAAACAATTGGCCAAATCTTGGATGACATACAATTATTTTTATTTTTGGTATCCTTTTCAAGCATATGAAAAGCAAACCCACCAATAGGTTCGTAGTTATATCGCAAGATATTTTCCAATAATCTAATCCAATATCTATCTAATATTAAACAATATTAAAAAGATAAGTGGGTTTGTGTTTATCTTGACACATAATTTCATAAGACATTCCACATGATAAAAATTGATAGCCAACTCGAGTCTTACCTATGGGAAGGCTTATGAAGATATTTTAAACTTCGGTTAACCATTTTTTTTTTTTATAAGGAATCTAAAATTAAAATTGGGTGAAATTAGGGGTATCCGTGTTTCTGCCAAAAAAAAAAATTAACCAAATTTAAGAGTGCCTACGCTTTATTAAGCGATAGGTATATTTATGACATATTTTGTGTTATTTCTCGTATTAATTACATCTTTTTCAAACATATCTTGGACACTCAAAGGGAAATTTAATATTTAAATATTTCTTTGTTGACAATTGATGGTTGGTTCAAATATTCTGATGAAACATGTAGGTACCTGAGCACTTATTTATTGTTGATAATGCAAGATTAAAATACTGACAAGGTCATGGCAGTAGATATGAACAAATGAACAAAAAAGCGACTACATAGGAGTGAATCATGTGGAACGAAGAAGGAAGAGGGCTCTGTTTATATATAAGAATAGATTCTGAATTTCATAATTTCTCTCCGAAACTACATATGTATATTTAAAAATAATGTTATATAATTGTTTATATGCCTAATTAAAAAGGCAAAGGATGTTCTTTTTAATTAAACTGTTATGTTGACTGCTGTTTTGTTATTTCACATCACTTTATTTAAACGCTTGTACAAATCAAAACATTGTCATAACACGTCATATCATGGGCTGCTCATATTTCATTAACTCAAACGTTGAGTACTTTTCCTTATTTATAAAAGGGTAGACAGAAATGAATGTCATGCCATGCATCATCAACAGTCTTTAATAGTCCACTGTTGGTCATAAGCCTCTCCTTAGAAAGGAGGTTTTGGCCTACTATACCACGCTGGCCAGACGGGTTGGTATAGGGTTTGTGTCAAGTTTTCCTTCTCTTTGCAGTGTTGTTGTCCTGCGTAGTTTGCTCCCTTAGTCGGCTCATTCCGTATTTTTAATCGGTCACCACACGGAAATACTTTTATTGTCCGAGTGTCATTACTCACTTATTTATTATCTGTAAAACTCATTATCAATTTTCGCAGTGTAGTACACAGTGTTTAATTATTATTAAAGCCAAAATAAATTTATTCTAGGCTACCGCGGCACCACCCTTAGGTAATTGACGCGTGCTTACGGACACTTTTCATGCACAGAGATGGTTCTCCTTGCCTCTACCCTCCATATGGTTTTGTTTAATAACTTATTTATGTACATATGTTATCTGCCCTATCATATATAAATAAACAAATGAAATTTCGAGCTGTGTCGTTTCATCTAGTGATGATCCAACTAAGCGATACACTAACTACAAAATAAAAGACCTTGCAAAGTATGTTCTACTTTTGTTAGTATACACAATCTACCAACAAGCAACGTGCAATTTTATTACTTATTTATACTATTATTGTACATTTAAGTAAGATTTTAAGATTCATAACAAGCCTCGAGAATATTGATCAATTAGTACTTAACAAAGGATTGACAATATTCTTTTGATGATTCTGTATGCAGTCTGAAAACTGTCGCTAATCTCATAAATGGGAGTATACTCTTCTAGTGCTTCGTCTGGAACTCCCATTTCCATTAGGAACGTTTCAGAATCTCTGGAATATAATTAAAAAATATATATAAATAAACAATAATATATTTAATAATCTCATTTTTGGCACAAAATATATGTCTGTATATTTGACCGCCTCGGTGGTGTAGTAGTAGCGTATGCGACTGCTATGTTGAGGTCTCGGGTTCGATTCCCGGGTCGGACCAAATGTTTGTATGATCTGCACATATTTGTTTCGGAGTTTGGATGTTTTCTATGTATAATATGTTAACTACATAACATGTAACAAAAAAAAAACATGTAATTGGAAATTGGCTATATTATTTGATCTTATCCATAAGTTTTTAATACTGTTTTTTTCCAAAATAAAGTAAATAAATATGAGTCAATCAGTCAATCTAGCTTTCATACTACAAGCTCCGCGTAGTTTGAACCTACACGGCTTTGTGTGTCAGATGTCCAATAATATTATTATTTATATTATAACAATACATTTAATACGAAATAATAATAATATATTAAATACGAACAAAGAGAATTTCGCGAAGAAAGGAAGGTAAAAGAACATCGGCCAAATCGTATGTCATATATATCCAAATCTGTTATTTTTTACAGTCTTAGAACACATAAGAAATATATTTTTAGGAAGCAAGAAGGAAAGATGAACTTTTTTTAGAAATTATTTAGGTAATATTTAGAGCGCACTAACTGGCTTTTCATTTCACTTATAAAACGAATCAAAAATTAAAAGTTGCAAATATTATTCTTTATATTTATTACTTATTAGCAGTAATTCAATTAGTTAAATAGGTAAATAACAAATAATTTAAAAGTTTTTTTTAAATTTAATTGATTATTGTCTAAAAAACATAATGATGCATGTGTGAAGTAATCATCAGAGTTTTGCACAAATGCGTAAAATGGAGCATCAAATGTTATTGACTGTTGACACCAATAATGTTATGTTTTCGAGATATGTACAGATATATTGAGGCATCAGGGTATCACTTGACAGGGAGTAGAGAGGAGTAGAGAGCTTAATGTTATGAGAAAAAAAATATATTTAGGTACATTATAATCTGCACCAGGGCCTTCCTTTCTAGGGTATACCTGGTTCCCCGGCTATTAGTACCCGGCGAAGGCGTGCGGTTTTAGTCGGTTCGAGTCCGACATGCCACCGACAGGTGGTATCCGAGGGGATTTCCGCACGGAAAAAAAAAAAAAAAAAAAAAAAAAAAAAAAAAAAAAAAAAAAGGTACATTATAATCTAATCTCCCTATAATTTGTTTCTGACCGCAGAAAAAAAAACAGGTACAACTTCTATAGAAATTTGGCCGATGGTCTTTGCTATACTTAAAATTAATATTAAGAAGTACAGAATATTAACACCCTCATTTTGCGGAACGAACTATCAAGAAAACTATTCTAGTGAAGTAAGAAAAGGTTGAATATTTTTTATTTTAACACTTGTGTGTAGTGTTTTCTCGAGAGTGCTTTGTTTCGGGTAAGATGTTCAACTAAAGGGTCTCAGCCTTGAATCGAAATATAAACTTTAATTTTTTTAACAACACCGAAACTAGAGGATCAAGTAATTCTTCTCACGGTTTTGAGGGTTCTGTACATCCAGTTGAAAAATATGTAACTTTTATTTATAGGATCACTAAGCCTTGTGCATTTGTCAGTCCATGTACTTATTGCATGGAAAATTGAGTAGTTCAGAGTAGTCAAGTTTAGTCGACCGAATAATTTGAAATTACATAGCACAGTCGGAAACTTTATCAGCAAAATTACTATGTTATCCAATTAACTTGGTGGCGTATTTAATCATTAAAGAAAACGTCATTTGTTGACGGATGATTTTATAAATGTAGCTTGAAAAAAAGATTGATAAAAGATGCACTTTGACCCATGTCTTTCAACTAGAATGTTAAGTATGTACGTGGGATTAAAAGGCAGCCTGTCCACCTGAGTTAACTAGTACTTGATCGTTTTTGGGGAATTTACTAATTTTAAGAGTGGATGCACATCTCGGGCCTCCTCCAATCATAGGACGGACATACGAGAACGCGAACTTCATGAAAGACTAGTGGTAACCTTTATTAGATCCCTCGCCCTATTTGTTTTCCTTATTACCTTGTCTGAAAATAGTGTGCGTTACCCCAGCAAAATAATGTCGAAAATGGTCATTTAAACGTTATAGATAATTAGTTGCTCCCCTTCTGTAATTGTTAGGCACATTTTTATTTTTGTTTCACTTAAACTTTTTTAGTTATTTCAAAAAAACACTTCCTGCTGGGGTAACGTTTGAAACGTTAACGCAGCCAGACATTTTCTTTTTTAATTGTAATATTGAAATAAATGTTAGCTAAATAATTAGTTATCTGGACTAGGTAAATGTTACAACTTATTTGGTATTTGTATTTTCTTCGGCTGCTGGAGTAACGTTTGTGGGTTTGCTGGATCTCTGAAACGGGTAAACGGATTGTAACCATCTTTTGTACATAACTTCTTAAGGATTAGTTTTAATTTGTTCGACAATAAAATAACAAAAATAATGGACCGTTTAAAAATTATTTAGATAAGTATGAAAACACTTCAATACGTCCTAACACTTTGAATAAGACCTCTAAAGACTTACTTCAAACGTTATTCTATTGCTTGTAACTACCTTCAAATGTATACGAATTTTCGTAAGAACACTGTACGAGTAAGTGACTAAAAAGTTATGATGAAATGTAGCTCTCCACGTTCACGATCACAATGTGTGCAGCCTTTTTTGGCCACCGATAAACCTGTGTGTGGATATATAAACTGAATGTTATGCCAATAATTAGTTGTTTAGTTCAGTTGTCTACCTGTAAAATTTCAGCGTAGTACATATAATAATTTACGAGATAATTAAATAAAAGTCATTAGAAGGTGCAAGTCCGTGGTAATCCGACCATGTTTAGGTGGTTACAAAAAAGCGATCACCCAGTACATTGCGCTGTCTTTTAAAATGTTTAGTGTAATACACCTTACGATTTCGGTACAGTTGCGTACAGTGTTAAATACATTAAATATTTATTCATTATTATTACCTATTATTTATTTTGTTTTTTTTTTCCTAATTGATCTTAAGCACTAGTTTCTTTACTTAATTTTTTTTTAGTCTTTTTAACTACCGGAGCTATAATTAACAGAAAATCTGCACTGGCCCGCTAAAATTATAAATATGCAGATACATGTATGAACGATTCACCTGACTGCAATAAATCGAAAATTTAAACCAATAAGAAATTGTTTCATTTCTTTGATTTTTTTTGTAAAGAAATAACACTAAAGTAATTGTATTTTATTTTGAGGTGTATAGAGCTTAGACTTGAATGCATCAAAATATTTAAAGCAACAAGTCATCTACAATAAGTTAAAATAGACCATAACAGTAGAAGAATACAGTTGTAAATTAGAATGCATCAACATTGCATCGCCCAACAGTCGTATACCTCGTAAGAGTAGGTAATATTGTTCTGTGGTCTATACCGAGAACCGAGAATTATCTATACCTATTTACCTAACGCTAAGCGTTGAGCCCGTGACTGTTGATTTCTGTTAAAAACGAACAGTTGTTGAATGATATTTTGAAATAATAACGGTAATTTAATTTATCGAGTGAAAGTGATACATTTTTATAGATAAAATTATTGGTCAGATAATATTTGTCAATCAAGAATCGCTGATAATACATCCTTAGCTAGAACGCGGGAGGGGAGGGGCGAAGGGATACTTCATTGTTTGCAATTTGCATCTAGTGCACTAAACTTGACCCTTAGGCAGATAATATACTCCAGGAGGTCCTAGAGCTCGCCGAGTCAGGGGTGGCTTGTGTCGTCCAAAAGATCAGCGGTCTGGGTCTAAGGGTTGCACCTCATAAGACGGAAGCCCTGTGGTTCCATAGGAAACGCAGAGGTGCAGTTCCCACCCGCTCGATTATCAGAGTGGGGGAACAGAGGTCGAGGTCGGTCGGTACATCAAATACCTCGGCCTCACCCTGGACAGCCGTTGGAGCTTCGAGGAGCATTTCGAGCGGTTGATCCCCCGAGTTCGCGGGGTGGCGGGCTCCCTACAGAGGCTATTGCCTAATCTGGGGGGGTCCGCAGGAGGAAGTTCGCCGCCTCTACTGTGCGGTGATACGATCCATGGCCCTCTACGGAGCGCCGATATGGGCAAAGCGCTTATCGGCCTCCTCCCGCTGCCGAGCTAAGCTTAATCAAGCGCAGCGGGTAGCGGACATTCGGATCGTACGGGGATACCGCACCATATCGTCGGAGGCGGCGACAGTCCTGGCACGTTTCCCGCCTTTTGATATCCTGGCGGATATGGACGCTAGGGTCTACGACCAGACTCGCGCGATCCGCTTAGGTGAGAGCGGGAACGACCAGGACGAGCTCGAAATGCGGCGAAACGCTCACCGACAGGCCCTGGCGCAGTGGCGCGCGCGGTTGGAACAGCCGCGCGCGCCAACGTGCTGTCGGTGCCGTTTTGCCTAACCTCGAAGCTTGGGTAGGAAGGGAGGGAGGTCGCGTCACCTACCGACTGACGCAGGTGCTCACTGGGCATGGCTGCTTCGGTGAGTACCTGAATCGGATTGGACGCGAGGAGACGGCACAATGCCAGCACTGCGCAGCCGACTGGGACTCCGCCCAGCACACGCTGGAAGACTGCCCCGCGTGGGCATCTGAACGCGAAGTCCTGGTCGATGAAATCGGACGAGACTTGTCCCCGCCAGCAATCATTACTGCCATGCTGGCGGGTGAGGAGGGCTGGGGCGCAGTGATCTCTTTCTGTGAAGCTGTAATGCTCCAGAAAGAGACCGCTGAACGGGATCGGGAGAGGGCCGATCCCGAGCGAAGAAGACGTCGACGACGTAATGAGCAGCCGACGGGACCGCGGGCCGCCAGAGAGTGGGGACCTCTGGTGGCAGATTAATTGCTGCGGTAGGGGAAAGGATGGCAGCCTGATCGCACTGAAAATGTGATCGGGCTGCAACATCTGGATAGGCTG